CACATGGGTACTTCTCGTATATTTGACTGTAGGTTCCCCCACACATGTAGCTGTTATAAAGATATTAGAAGACATGGCATCCTCTTCTCCTCCATGATCCCTGGGAAAGTCATCTTTCCAAATCTAATTTTAATATGATGGGATGGGACACATTTGAATACATCCAGAGAATGGTTCCAGAATCTGTGCGATCCCATCGGAGTATTCCCTCTGAACATTTTGCAAGAATGTATTATTAACCTGAGTTGGTATTCATCAGTATTGTTTTGCTGTGGGAAGGCTGGAGCAGATTCACGGGGTCTGCATGATTTATGACTCAGGGCTCCTCAGACTTCAGATCACGGCCAGCCTTACCACTGGACAGAGGGAGATGGGCACCTTAGCCAGCACCTTTTGCATGTCATGAAAACCTAGCAAGACAAAGATGGTCTGCAGTGCTAGACATGTACAGTATGTGTGTATCCCAACCAAGCACTAACAGCATAACAGAGGTCCTATCCAGCCTGTATCTGTAATGGATATTGTGAAATGCTGCAACTTGTAGTCACATAAAAGAAGATGGCGTCTGTTAAGTTTTGTTAAGGTAAGTTAAAAGCAATCAAATGTGTGAGATTGTTTTTCCAGAGTTGCCTGGTACAAGAGGAGCTTGTTACAGAGATAAGAAGGCAAGGCCAGAGAGAGGCCTGGAGGAGACCAGACAATAATTCCACTTAATTGGAAACAAGATAAAAACACCTGTGGACTCATGAGAGATATGAGTGGAGAGATGTGTTAAGTTTTCTTGCAATTAATTGGACAACAGCTGCTAAGTGTCAAGATGAAGGAGGTCTTAGACATGCAGAAAATAATTGTATTGTGTATGTGAAAAGTTCTAAGTTGGTTTGTGGTTGATGTGTGTCGAAGAATGCTTGCAGGATGTAGTAAAGAAAAATGGTTCGTCTTTTTGAAACTAGAAGAAGGAGGGAATAGCCCAGCTTAGAAGCAAGATGATTTTAGAAGTTATTATTTTATGTAGAAATAGTAGCTTTATTTAACCATTGAAATGGATGAATATGTAATGCGAAATGCTTTTGCACAACTATATACTAATAAAACTATATTAATAAAAACAAATGCTTCTTAAGAGAAGACTTGTCTTTGATACAGCAAGGCTCACATTTAAATCCAGGGATGATTTGATAACAGGTCCTACTTTGCTGATCTGTTGTGCTGTCTAAGGAAGCACAAAGTCAATGCTTAATTACAGTACTTGGAAAGTAAGCATAGGTTTTCTTTTAAGGTCAGGCTTGTCCATGGGGCTTATGCTATGCACTTCTGAGGCCTAGAGGACCAACCTTAGAGATAAAGGCAGTAGATTTGCGCCCACAGTGACTCCCTGTCCAAACGTCACACTCTCTTTAGGGAGGGGTGAGTGTCACAGTCTCCACCTCCTGAAGCTGCCTTGCTTATTTCAGGCAGGGCAAGTGCCACACAGCTTTGCTCCACAAAAGCATCTGCCATTTTCATTTCCCAAAATGTATTTAATTATTTATTTAATTTATATGCAGCCCACACTACCCAGAGGTCTCCAGACATCAGATATGATACTCCAGACATCATATCAGTGCTCTCTGAAGAACAATTGAGTTAGTTCAGTACATTTAGCATGGAGAAGACAAGACTGGACGGTGAAATGATAGCGATCTTCAGATTAGGGATTTTTTTTTCTTCGTTGTGCTGTTGGACATACAGTGCACAGTTAGAAAAAATGAGTGCAGTTGGAGACTGCCAGATGTGCAACTGGGAAAACAGAAAAATGGTCAAGTTATGCACATCTGTTTATCGAGAATGTGCTACGTAACACAATTTCCAACTGTACATTTTGCATCCAACTGCACACTAACAAAACAAAACAAATATCTGCCTCAGATATCTGAAAAGCTGTTCCCAAGAAGACAGAGCAACCTTGCTGTTGATGTTCTAGAGAGTGGGGCTTGAAATGGATTCAAGTTACAAGAAAGGCAATTCGACGGAAACATAAGGAAGAACCTCTGGATAGTAAGAGTTGTTCATCAGCAAAACAGACTACCTTGGAAAGTGGTGGCCTCTCCTTCATGAGAGATTTTTCAAACAGAAGTTGAACAGGCATCTGTTGTGGATGCTCAGTTGTGGATTCTCTTTGAAAGGGAGAAGAGTACGAGTCATCTTGGGATCCCTTCCAGGCTACTGTTCTAGCATCAGAGTAAATTAAGATAGTCGTCATGCCTGTGGAGCTTTGCCCTACAACAATGGACCCATCCTGCCCAAAAATTAGTTTTTATAAAATATAAAGGAGAAAGAAATCATTGCAACTTCCATGGTGGTGAGGTCCTCTGGGTTTTGAGGGTTCCAGATCTGCACTTGAAGGACCACCCATGGTGGCACTACTGCCTACAGAGCAGTGAAAGTATCTGGAAACCTTTGATAATTCCGCTTTCCTCCACCCATCAAGATTCTGCCCTGAGGGGATCCTCTCTGACCTGGCTAGTTCTTTAATGCTACCTCCTCGCCAACAACCATTTTATGTTTCTTTCCCAATCAAGGCCCACTTCTTGTTGTCTCCCAGTTTCCTCATGATTGTAATTTCCTGCAAAAGAGTCTTTGTTGCCTGGAAACAAGGCTGACATCTCTTCCCCCCCCCCCCCCCCCCGCAACTGCTGCCAGCCTTAGCTTCAGGGCCGCCTGCGCACATCTGCTAGGCATCCTCAGCCACTTTTTGAAGTACTATACTAATAAGAAACCAGATGGAATGATGCATTAATAAACATTTCCTTTACATGTAGATTGTGGACATCTCTTGAAAAGAAAAGAAAAGAAAAGAAAAGAAAAGAAAAGAAAAGAAAAGAAAAGAAAAGAAAAGAAAAGAAAAGAAAAGAAAAGAAAGACCACTTCTATGGGATTTTTCAGTACTGATGGGATGTTTGCCAAGGCCAGTAAATACAGACACAATCCAGACCTTACCCATGAAAGGAAAGAAGTGGACACACTTTGCCACCCAGCATAGACAGGGAGAGTGTTGAGCAGCCAGGAACAGGCAAGCCAAAAATATATGGAAGGCCATATTTTCTCCAACTCTGCTCCAGCCTTTTCCAGCTCTCCGGTACAATGTGAATCCACTGACACTTTGAAACAAGGAACAGCCCCTGTACATTAGCTGCACCATTCTCTTGGGCCAGCTGTGTTTTTTTTTACACTTTCCAGCCACATGGGTGTCCAGGTGATGCATTCTGGTGCATCAGCCTGCCTGCATGGGACCTCCATGCTATGGCTTCTACTAATATCCCCTGTGGGTTAGGTCATGCCTACCATGAAACATATAAGATATTACCCAGAGTAAAAGTTGTCCCTGGTTCCAAGCTGTCATCTAATCAAGATACTTGATTAACCCAATACACTTCTGCCCCTCAAGCCTCTTCCACATGGGGCCATTGCCTCCATCTGCCTCAAGGTAGGGCCTTTCTCACACTCCAGTACTGTTAACTTGGCTAAACTAGGATTCATTGGATGTTTGAGACTGTGATCCTTGTTCTACTTCACTGAAAGGGAGTTTTGTGGTTGCACCTCCTCTCTCCCTTTGGACACTTTCTTGGAGTTGTGACATAATGAGGTCACATGTGCAACTGTGGGAATTTTTCTCTCCATTCCTCTTCCTTGGTCACAGATAGTCTCCGTCTAGTTCTATAATATCTACATTTAAATGAGAATTCTTTAATTTATGTGCACAATCAGTTATCACTTTTTGGGTGAGAGAGGGAGGAAGAGAAACTGCAAAGAGGTACCCAGAATATCTCTATTTCTGTTTTACTTCATAGTCCACACAAGCACAAGCTTGATGACTGCCTGATTTAAAAAATGCATATAATTTTATTTCTGTTGTGGAGAGCTTTATGAATAAGGTTGAAAGAGAAAATTCAGTATTGCAGTGGGGTGGGGGCTTAACTTCTTTATATATATTTTTTTGTAATTCTAAAGCAAGAATGTATTGAGATGAGTGATATCTAGGCATCTTAAACTATGTGCTAGGAACCTGTCATTATTTATGTATTAACACAATGTTGACATTGTGGCTGGTATCAGTGTGAAAAATATCTGGAAGAAATAGAGGCTTCTAGACTTTAGCTCAAAGTTTTAAAATGAGCAAAGACCAGACAGAGCAAGCTCCACTCAATTACGTAGTGTGAAACTGCTCTTTCAGCTAGTTGATTTAAAAATAAAATATTAAAAAAATAGATTTTGAGGAGGCAAGCAGCTGCTTGACAATCCTACCCAATAAGGTGCAGCTTTTTAAAAGATCGGAAAATATTTAAACTATTTAAAAACGAACATTTGAAAGTTAGTTAAAAAAAATATTTAAAAATACTTTGGATGAAATGGGTTTCCAACTGGCCAAATGGGCGTGATGTGATCCTCTCCCCCCGCCCACAAGCACACTGAAAAGATGGTTTGTTGGGGGCAAGCACGAGAAGCAACACAGAAAGACGAACATAGACATAAAAATAGAAGTCCACGTCGACGGGCCATATATGGAATCCTGAAGACTTCAGAGGGATACCCTTTTTGGGCCCACCCCTTTGGCGAAAACAAATCACTACCGCATTACTGCTCTCCCCTGCCTCCAACTTCATGAAAACAGAGCTGCACACACCAAGGCGTACTTTCCAAAGGAGAACAACAAGCTCTGTTTTAGGGTCGTAGGTGGACACGAATGCCACACGCCACCGTGGCCTCTTTAAAACCATTTTCCAAGTAGATTTCTCTCTTTCAATAACGGGATGGCGGCGGGGGCGGGGGAGGAAAAGA